TTCTGAGAGAGGAATGGACAAACATCTCACTGACAGTCACTGAAGTGGATGTTTTACTGTCGGATCCACAAGCAGAGCCAAAGACTAGAGCGGAATTTTTAAAATATTCACGTGAAATCACGCTGGATCCAAACACAGCAAACACATATCTGTTATTATCAGAGGGGAACAGAAAAGCAACATCCACAAAGAAACAGTCTTATTCTGACCACCCAGACAGATTCACTGGATGGTGGCAGGTCCTGAGTAGACAAAGCCTGACTGGACGTTGTTACTGGGAGGTGGAGTGGAGAGGTGGAGGAATTATTGTAGCAGTTGCGTACAAGAATATCAGCAGAGTAGAAACTGGATGTTGGTTTGGACATAATGACAAATCTTGGTCATTAGATTGTAACAACAACAGTTATACATTTTGGTACAACAACATCCAAACTCGTGTCCCAGGTCCTCGTTCCTCCAGAGTAGGAGTGTACCTGGATCACAGAGCAGGTATTTTGTCCTTCTACAGCGTCTCTGAAACCATGACTCTCCTCCACAGAGTCCAGACCACATTCACTCAGCCGCTCTATGCTGGACTTTGGCTTTGTTATTCTTATGGGGACATTGCTGAGTTTGTTAAACTGAAATAGACTGAATCCTTTCATACTGTTGTGGGATTAAAACAGTATTTTTGTTTCCATTTCTTTTTTGTTTCCATCATTATCGTGGCATTCTGCAATGCACAGAAATCAGTTACACATTACAGGTGGTACCATGACAAGTTCTAAATGTTCTCTTGATGTTTTTGAGGTCTTGTTAGATTGAGCTCTTTACTGTGTCTGTTTAGCCATAAAAACAATCACTTCTTGTGACTCCTGTGAACAAACTGACACGGTGTGGTTTTACAAATCTTTAAATGTCTCTTTGCTGATGTTGCTGAAGATGCTGAAAGCTCAGTGAAGTTGTGTTTTAAATGTTTTTCTGAAGGTTAATTTTAAAATTGATGCACAACACAAGAGGGCACCTTCATCCTGCTAACGGGGATGTAGAGGAGGTTAAAACACCTCAGCTCAGTTTGTCCACATTTTTTAGATTCTGACATGTTTTTAGCCTGATAAAACCCTTTATGAGTCGATTGTATTGCAAATCATGGTAAAAAGTATGTAATGTAATGTAATATGTAATATTATAGAAACATTTCCTTCAAAAACAGAATATTTACTAACTGACCTTTTTCCATGGGCTCTTGTCTTCCTCATCTTACTGCCACGTTGAAACCACAAACTCCAGAAGATGTACTACAAATTGTGCATCTTCACCACACAGCTTTCTACGGTTTACTTTCATACCCACTAAATAAGAACCAAAAATATAATAATAATATAATCAATATAAAAGTATGAATTTTTATGTACCCCTTAAAAGAAAAGAAATCTTATTTTATTGTTTCTCCTTGGTCATAATCCTGGATCCTGAAGGGTTTTGAGTTTTTGGACTTCTAGTGTATCCCTGTTCACTGTACCTCTGCTAAACACCCCTCCCAAGAGGTTTTGGCCTCCAGTCAAAGGAACATTGTAATAAAGCATATTTCACCCAGTGGGGGTTTAATTTATTCAAACATAAAATAAATGTCTGTATGCCAAATGCTCAGGAAGAACAAGGAAGTCCACAACCCCAAGCAAGGTAACACAGAATCATTGCCATTTCTATAGCCAGACCAATCCTGCATCATCTCCCAAAAGCCTGTTCTGAGCAAAAACCCTGTATATTATTGAAGCTGACTTCACACAAGGAGGACTGGCAACCTTTCCTTAAGATTAGTGAGCAAACGATTCCAGATGTTCTGCAAAACCTTTCTGCACAAAATTGCATTTACTTTATTTTACTGAGACAGTGTGCAAAGATAAGATCAACAGCAATGAGCTGTAGGCTGAAACACAACACAGATGTATAACATTGTTAATAAAGTTAATTTGTCTGAAATAAATTGATGACATTTATATGTCCTAGGGCCCATACAGATGAACATCAAGATTCTCCTCAATTATTTAACTGTTTTTAATATTATTTAACAGAATTCTACTTGTACAAACACAGAAGGGCATTCAATAACAAGAAACCCAAAACTGGATCATCCATTAACTCAAGTTAAGGTAAATATGATGAGTTGTGAATTTAATGTACACTCGGCCTAGTGTGGAAAAGCTGGAGTGCTGGACTGCAGCTTGTCAGTCTGGTAACTCAAACAGGCTCTTTTCCACACTGTTCTTATTTATAAAGTGCATTACAAATCCGAACACGACTACTAACAGGTGGATATTCGTGTTTTAATGCAAATAGCCAAACAACATAGAGCCACTTACTCCTAAAGAGAGAGACAGTAAAAGTGAACAGTATATCCTTGGTTTCTTAACATAACACTCATTGCTGCAGACAGGTGCGGCCCAAAAAGTGATCCCCTTAGACTGATTTTTAGTTTTAGTGTTATTCATTTTCCTCTGAGTTATCCATTCTGCCACTAGTTAGCTAACATAAACTAATCTAAGTCTATTAGCTGCAACTAACAAACCAACAACATGACATTGAATGATGTTCCATACTGACAGAATATGGCACTAAATATGTTTTTAAAACTTTAAGCACTTATTTCTTAATTCCAGCTTCACAGACAGCATTATATCTATATCTGTTTTTGAGAGCAGGGCTCAAAGGTTTAAATTAGCATTTTTATGTGTAGTGTTTCATGTCTTCTATAAGTAAAATACATAAAACCTTGTGCAGATCATAATTCAGAACTCATCAGATTTTT